ACCATAACCGCGCCAATGAACCAGGAACTGTAATCGACCGCGCACCAATCGAGAGTCCAGGATCCGGCTCACCTCATACTCCTCATGACCGTCAACCCGGACAGGACGGGGGGCCGAGGAAGAGAGGTAGTGAAGCGATTGCAAATCAGAGGTTTCAACAGGAAACATGAAAGATATTGGAGATCCGCATCCCAGACTGAAGGGCAAGGGCATAGGCCACCGGATTCACTTTGCGGAGAATGCGGAAAGGACCGACAAAACGGGGAGCTAGTTTGGGTGTGGGCACCCGAAGATTGAGGTTGCGAGTAGACAACCACACCCGATCGCCAACCTGGTATGAAGGAGCGGGTAACCGTCTGTGATCAGCCTGGAACTTCTGGCGCTGAGCTGAGTCCCTCAAGGCCCTCTGGATCTGCCCACATGAAGAACGCAGGGCAGCAAGATGGTTCTCCACAGCCGGAATGTCCTGTGGTGAGAACCTCTCAGGTAATAACCGCGGGTTGGAACCCATAGTTGGCCATGAAGGGAGACATCCCGGTGGAGGAGTTGACCGCCGAGTTCCTGGCAAACTCTGCCCACGCAGGAGATCGGCCCAATCGTCCTGATGGTCTGAAATATAACACCGAAGGAATTGTTCTAAGGCCTGATTGGAACGCTCCGCAGCCCATTGGACTGCGGGTGGTAGGCTGAAGAAAAGGAGAGGACTAATACCCAACTGGGAGCAGAAGGCGCGCCAGAATCTGGACACGAACTGACTCTGAGACAATCACCTTAGGTAACCCATGCAAGCGAAAAATCTCCCTGGAAAAAGACCGTGGCCAGTTCTTGCGCTGTGGGTAATTTCCTGAGTGGAATGCAATGGCACATCTTGGAAAGCCGACCGACGATCATGAGGATGACCGTATGACCCGAGACACCGGGAGGTCTACAATAAAGTCCATCCCTAGATGTGACCAAGGACGCTCCCCATTGGGAATGGGTTGCAGAAGACCCAAAGGGAGATGCCGTGGAGACTTATTCTGGGCACAGATCGAACATGCCGCTACATAAGAGGCAATGTCGGCACGGAGGGTTGGCCACCAGAATAAGCGAGAGACGACCCAACACAGCTGGTTCTTCCCGGATGCCCGGCAGTTTTGGCGCTATGGTAAGTACGCAGCAGGCAGGGTGCGCAATTCCTCGGGTACGAAACATCTACCTCCGGCTTCCCGGGAGGAGCATCAGTTTGAGCCGCCAAAATCTGCTCCCCAAGGGGAGAGGTCAGACTGGTGCGAATGGCAGCCAGGATCTGATCTGGAGGTATAAGTGAGATTGGCTCAGAGTCCTCCCTGGACAACTCAGAGTATTGCCGTGATAACGCATCAGCCCTGACATTCTTGGAACCAGGCAAATATGAAACCACATAGTTGAAGCGTGACAAGAACAGAGCCCATCTGGCCTGGCGGGGTGTCAATCTCTTGGCCTCCGAAAGATAAGTCAGGTTCTTGTGATCGGTAAGAATGAGGACCGGAACCGCGGAACCCTCGAGCAGGTGCCTCCATTCCTTGAGAGCCAGAATGATGACCAACAACTCCCGATCTCCAATCTGGTAGTTGCACTCAGCCGAGGAAAGCTTCCTGGAGTAGAACCCGCAGGGAAGTAGGGGTCTATCGGGCGACCGACGCTGAGACAGGAGAGCCCCTACTCCCGTCTCGGAAGCATCAACTCGAGGAGACGAAGGGGCAACCCAGGATTGGATGCGAAAGAATCGGAGCCGAAGCAAAGGCAGCTTTCAGAGCCTCGAAAGCTATGATGGCCTCGGATGGCCACTCGTGAGGGTTACTCCCCTTCTTGGTTAGGTCAGAGAGAGGCTTTGCCAATGTGGAGAAGTTCCTGATGAACTTCCGATAGTAGTTGGCAAAACCCAGAAAGCGCTGAATGGGCCGAAGACCATTGGGACGACGAGGCCACTGCAGAACCGCCGCAACCTTCTGAGGGTCCATGAAAATCCCTCCGCGGAAATTATGTAGCCCAAAAAGGCAACCTGGGATCGATGGAACTCGCACTTCTCGAGTTTACAAAAGAGTCCGTTCTCACGCAATCGTTGCAGCACCTGCTTGACATCCTGGACATGGGACTCCATGGAGGTAGAGTAAACCAAGATATCATCCAGGTAAACCACTACGCACTGCTGCAACAAATCACAAAGGACATAGTTTATGAATTCCTGAAAGACCGCAGGCGCGTTACACAATCCGAAGGCATCACCAGGTATTCGTAGTGCCCAGTTTCTGGTGTTAAACGCGGTCTTCCACTCATCCCCCTGTCTGATCCGTACGAGGTTGTACGCCGCCCTAAGGTCGAGTTTGGTAAAGACTGTTGCTCCCTTAAGGCGGTCGAACAACTCAGAAATCAAAGGAATTGGATATGCATTTTTAATGGTAATCCGATTGAGACCCCTATAATCGATGCAGGGCCTCAATTTCCCACCTTTCTTCTTTACGAAAAAAAAACCCCGCTCCTGCTGGGGAAGTAGACTTACGAATGTGCCCCCGGGAAAGCGCATCCACAACGTACTCCTCCATGGCCTTATTCTCCGCAACCGAGAGAGGGTACACCCTGCCACGTGGAGGAGTGGCCCCGGGTTGCAAGGATATGGCGCAGTCGTAAGGACGATGCGGTGGTAAGGTACCAGCGCGTACCTTATCGAACACGTCCCGGTACTCCCCATAGTCGGTGGGCAACGCAGAGTCCGAGGAGGCACACAATACCTTAACCGGCCCCCGGATGCACCTGGCCCCACACTGTGGAGACCATGAGAGAATCTCGGCTGTTTGCCAATTGAAGGTTGGATTGTGCCTCTGGAGCCAGGGATACCCCAAAACCACCGAATAGTGTGGGGAAGAAATCACCTGAAAACAGGCCAACTCCCTGTGAACAGCCCCAATGGCTACCTCTATTGGCAGAGTCTCGTGGGGTAACCTGCGGCGGTTGCAGGGGCCTGCCATCTATTGCTTCAAGAAAACCAATGGGGCAGCACGAGCCTGCAGGGGAATGGAGTGCTGCGCAGCAAACGAGCTGTCCAAGAACAACCCACCGGCCCCAGAGTCTACCAACGCCTGGGCCGTCACCGAGCCCCCCGTCCAAGAAAGGACAACGGTGATCAGTGGCTTATCCTCGCGGAACGCCGGGGACGAGGGAAACTCCACCCAAGATCTGTCCCCCGACATGATCTCAGGTGCGAGCGTTTCCCGGACGGACCGGACAAGACTGCCGAAAGTGCCCACCGAGGCCACAGTACAGGCAGCGACCCTCCGGACGCCAAGCGGCCCGCTCCCCCTTGGAAAGGCGAGCAAACCCCAGCTGCATGGGTTCCCCACCAGACAAGCTATCCCCAGGAGGCGTGGGAGGAGAGGGAGGAACGGGTGGGACAGAAAACGCAGGTGCCAGTCGATTGGAAGGCCTCCGCAGGCGTTCCTTGAGTGAAGGCCTCTCCCTGAGCCTGGTGTCAATCAGGATCAGGAAAGAGATGAGCTCCTCCAACACCACAGGCAGTTCCTTAGCTGCAATCTCGTCCTTCAATGTGTCAGAAAGACCATGGGAAAACGCAGCCACCAGAGCCTCATTGTTCCAACCGAACCTCTGCCGCCAGGGTACGAAACTCTATAGCGTACTCTGGCCACGGTCCGTGAAACCCTGATGCATGGTCATGAGCAGCTTGGCCGCCGAGGCGGAACGAGCCGGTACGTCGAATACCCTACGGAAGGCATCGACAAAACCGGAAAAATCTTGAATCACCGGGTCGTTCCTCTCCCATAAGGGATTTGCCCAGGCCAAGGCCTTGTCTGAGAGTAGTGAAATTAGGAACCCCACCTTTGACCTCTCAGACGGAAAGGCGTGGGGTATTAATTCAAAATAAATACCCACCTGGTTGAGGAACCCACGACACTGACTCGGCTCACCCCAAAAGCGCTGTGGAAGAGGGGGCAGAACCAGTCATACCTCTGGGCGCCGCTGATGCAGCCGTCGAGGTGGTGGACACAATAGGCGGAGAAGCAGCGGGAGAGACCAACGGAGCGACTACCGGCCTAATAGCACCAGGAGCAAGGTGTGCAGTGCCTGCAAGCAGAGTTTGCAACGCCTGAGCGAACTGATCCAACAGGTGATCCTGTTGATCAAGTCTGGCGACTAGCATTGGGAGCGAAGGCGTGCCTGCACCGTCAGGGTTCATCGCACTTGTGTAATGTCAGGGCAGGAGCTGAGGAACGGACAGGCAGGCCTAACAATCTAACGCATGGCTGACGACAACCACCACCCACAGACCGAAGTCCCTCAGGGCGCGGAGTCTAAGTCCAGGCTGCCCTTCACCAGGGCCCCTGATGGTGGGGATGGACTTGACGCAGCCAGGAACCAGGTCGCGACCCCCAAGACACCTCAGCTGCAGTAATGGCCGCCGCCAATGGCGTGTAGCTGGTGGAAGAGACAAAAGAGTAGTCAGACAAGCCGGGGGTCAACAACAACAGGACAAAACAGTACAGGACAGCAGACGAGAATCACAGGTCACGAGCCGGGTTCAGCAACAGAGGGTCAGATCAAAGGAGAATACAAAGAATAGTCAAGTCACAAGCCGAATCAGATACCAGGAGAGTCACGAGAGTCAGAACAGAGTAATAGCGACACAAAGACACAAGACACAAGTGCAAAGAGCATGTGCGGGCCACAGGCTTATATAATGTCATCAGCCACACCCCTCTGGGGGATGGACCACAGAAACCTGAAGGCATAAAAGGATTCCCATCATGCACAGCAGAATCCAAGATGGACGCCAGCACATGGCGTAACATAACCTCAGGGAAAAGGTTAGGACCTTGACATTGACCCATGAACAGTGCGAAAATCGGGCCGATTATTCTTTTGGACGAAAAATTGGCAGATATAAACGAACCGTCTATGGCTTGCATAAGATTCATGTGTTCCAATCACCTCCATGGCCACAGGTGTGTAAAATCAAGCACCTAGGCATGCAGACTGCTTCTACAAACATTTGTGAAAGTATGGGTCACTCATATGAGCTCAGTGAATTCAAGCTTGGTACTGTGATAGGTTGCCACCTGTGCAATAAGTCCATCCGTGAAATTTCCTTGCTACTAAATATTCCACAGTCAACTGTTAGTGGTATTATAACAAAGTGGAAGCAACTGGGAACAACTGCAACTCAGCCATGAAGTGATAGGCTACGTAAAATGACAGAGCAAGGTCAGCACATGCTGAAGCGCACAGTGTGCAGAAATCGCCAACTGTCTGCAGAGTCAATAGCTAAAGTCCTCCAAACTGTGGCCTTCCAATTAGCTCAACGGTGCAGAGAGAGCTTCATGGAATGGGTTTCCATTGCTGAGCAGCTGCATCCAAGCCTTACATCACTAACTGCAAGGCAAAGCATTGGATGCAGTGGTGTATAGCATGCCACCACTGGACTCTAGAGCAGTGGAGTGAAGAATCACACTTCTCTGTCTGTCAATCCAATGGATGTGTCTGGGTTTGGTGGTTGCAAGAATGGTCCTTGCCTGACTACATTGTGCCAAGTGTAAAGTTTGGTGGAGGGGGACTTATGGTGTGGGGCTGTTTTTCAGGGGTTGAGCTTGGCCCCATAGTTCCAGTGAAGGGAAGTCTTAAGGCGTCAGTATACCAAGACATTTTGGACAATTTCATGCTCCCAACTTTGTGGGAACAGTTTGGGGATGGCCCCTTCCCGTTCCAACATGACTGCGCACCAGGACACAAAGCAAGGTCCATAAAGACATGCATTCGGACACTCTCAATATTGAACCCTACGGATTAAGACTGGGATGCCATTAATTTTCATGTGCTTGTAAAGGCAGGCTTCCCAATACTTTTGAACATTTGAACATATAGGTCTCCTTGCCTGAACATTGGTTGTTTTGCTTCACATCATTTCTTTACTTCCTGAATGCTTTTTATATTAGATTTTTGCCCTCTTCTGACTACAGTTTTGCACCATTATTACCACAATTTTCTACAGTTATGTGATGAACCTGTATGAGGAACCCGAGATTAACAGGGTGACCTTTTGCACAATTCCCCCCAGCACTCCTGGGAATTAAAACAGGGCCAGCAAGAGCAATGGAAGGACACAAGTGCCTGGGTGCAGGAACAGGTGACTGGAACCCGGAAGCCTGGTATCAGTGCAAGAATACAGCTGGTAATATATCAAGGAAGCACCAAGGTCAGATAAACAAAAAAGACCTAACATTTTAAAAAAAATACGTTTTTCTTCGTTCTGTCATAAAATTTTGCAAATAAATAATCTTTCTTCATAAATTTAGGCCAAAATGTATGTTACATTTCTTTGGTGAAAGTAACCCAGATCCATGTATTTAGTCTGTGTGAAAGTTATAGAATTCACGAACTATGGTATACAGGTGAAACTTGAAAAATTAGAATATCGTGCAAAAGTTCATTTATTTCACTAATACAACTTAAAAAGGTGAAACTAATATATGAGATAGACTCATTACATGCAAAGCAAGATAGTTCAAGCTGTGATTTGTCATAATTGTGATGATTATGGCTTACATCTTATGAAAACCCCAAATCCACAATCTCAGAAAATTAGAATATTACATGCAATCAATAAAACAAGGATTGTACATTGAACAATATCAGACCTCTGAAAAGTATAAGCATGCATATGTACTCAGTATTTGGTTTGGGCCCCTTTTGCAGCAATTACTGCCTCAATGCGGCGTTGCATGGAAGCTATCAGCATGTGGCACTGCTGAGGTGTTATGGAAGACCAGGATGCTTCAATAGCGGCCTTCAGCTCTTCTGCATTGTTCGGTCTCATGTCTCTCATCTTTCTCTTGGCAATGCCCCATAGATTCTCTATGGGGTTCAGGTTAGGCGAGTTTGCTGGCCAATCAAGCACAGTAATCCCACGGTTATTGAACCAGGTTTTGGTGCTTTTGGCAGTGTGGGCAGGTGCCAAGTCCTGCTGGAAAATTAAGACAGCATCCCCATAAAGCTCATCTGCGGAAGGAAGCATGAAGTGTTCCAAAATCTCCTGGTAGACGGCTGCGTTGACCCTGGACTTAATGAAGCACAGTGGACCAACACCAGCAGATGACATGGATCCCCAAATTCAACATAGACTGTGGAAACTTCACACTGGACTTCAAGCATCTTGCAGTGTGTGCCTCTCCATTCTTCTTCCATACTCTGGGTCCTTGGTTTCCAAATGAGATGCAAACGTTGCTCTCATCAGAAAAGAGGACTTTGGACCACTGAGCAACAGACCAGGTCTGTTTTTCTTTAGCCTAGGTAAGACGCTTCTGACATTGTTTGTTGTTCAGGAGAGGCTTGACAAGAGGAATACGACATTTGAAGTCCATGTCCAGGATCCGTCTGTGTGTGGTGGCTCTTGATGCACTGACTCCATCCTCAGTCCACTCCTTGTGAAAGTCCAACACTTTTAAATGATCTTTTCCTGACAATCCTCTCCAGGCTGCGGTCATCCCTGCTGCTTGTGCACCTTTTTCTTCCACACTTTTCCCTTCCACATAACTTTCTATTAATGTGCTTTGATACAGCACTTTGGGAACATCCAACTTCTTTTGCAATCACCTTTTGAGGCTTTCCCTCCTTATGGAGGGTGTCAATGATGGTTTTCTGCACAACTCTCAGGTCAGCAGTCTTTCCCATGATTGTGATTCCTACTGAACCAGACTGAGAGACCATTTAAAGGCTCAGGAACCCTTTGCAGGTGTTATGGCTTAATTAGCTGATTAGAGTGGGACACTTTGAGCCTAGAATATTTCACCTTTTCACAATATTCAAATTTTTTGAGATTGTGGATTTGGGGTTTTCATGAGCTGTAAGCCATAATCATCACAATTATGACAAATCACGGCTTGAACTATCTTACTTTGCATGTAATGAGTCTCATATATTAGTTTCACCTTTTAAGTTGTATTACTGAAATAAATGAACTTTTGGACGATATTCTAATTTTTTGAGTTTCACCTGTATATATTTGAAAAATCGATCAATCCTGATGTACTGATGGCCTGAAAATGCCAGGATAGCACAAATACCCCCCAAAATGACCTCTTTTTGGAAAGTAGACAGTCCAAGGTATTTAGTAAGAGGCATGGCAAGTTTTTTGAAGTTGTAACATTTATGCACACTTCTTTTAAAATGAAGAATACATTTTTTTTTCACATATAACTGTTGTGGTGGTGATCAGCGACACTGACTGGTGACAGTATGTAAAAAAACAGGCAAAAAAAAGGGTTTTCTTTTAATTTTTCTATTTTTTTTTTAAATTACAATTTTTTTTCTTTTTTCACATTTTTTTACATAATGTGACTAGAATACAGTTGTTACCATAGTAACACTGTACTACTCTGGAGGGTTTTTTTTTTTTTTTTTTTACACACTATGATTGCTTATAACAGTGATAATCACTATTATAAGCAACCATTATTTTTAATGAAATCCAATCAATCATTCAGTGTGTACTATTGTGTTTAGCTGTGATTGGCCACAGCTAATCACATGGTACAGATGGCTGTGATTGGCCCTGTCTGTAACATGTTATCACTGTGACCAATCACAGATCAACACCATAGTTCACAATGAATGGCTATGAATGGAAACCATTCATTGTGTACAATTGCCATGCAATCTGCTGTGTGGTGGTCGCAGTAATCAAATGGTACCCAGTACACTGATCTGATCCGCTGGACATATCGGGTGACAGATCGAGCCACGACATGGCCGTTGGGGTGCGAGCGAGGCGTGATACTGCTGGAACAACGTCATATGGCATCCACCCAGGATAGCAGCACTCCCCCTCGGCCATCATTTGTCTAAAGGCTGGACAGGAGGCAGTTAAATAGCCCACTTGGTTCAGCAAACATTATTAAATTTGGGTGCCTTATCAGAACTACAATAAAGTCAACCGGAGCTGATATTGAAAAATAGTATTGGACATTTTCTAGGCTAATAGGCAAGTCATTGAGAAACAAATGGCATGTGGGCTGGGCACTAACTTTGGGAGCATGTACTAAAGGAGTAAAATAGGTTTAGGGAGCAGCAATTTTAATAATGCTTAGAGTGAAACATTAAAAAATGCAAATTATGTTTTGATAACATGCCTGGGGGATGCCCTGGGCCTGCCTGTGAAATGGATCATCTGTGTGATTTATTCAACCTACTACAGGAAAACTGAAATTTTCAAAGGAAAACTGTTTAAATTGCTAGCAAAATAATAGCTCCCAGTACCTTCAAGTCTGTTGTGGTTTTTAAGGGGGAACTCCACAAAAAAGTCAAGAGAGAACCACATGGAAAAAAAAGTGTTGCACCAGACAAAAATCCACACCAGAACGTTATACAAAAATGCAGCCTGACAGGCCAAGAGAGGGGGGACTAGTTTGCATCCCCCCCAAACCATACCAGATCATATGCCCTCAACATTGCGGGGGTACATTGCAAGCGCCTTGTCCAAATTTTGATGACTTCACCCAGTTGACACCTCCTCTTTCTTTATATCAGCTGTCATCCACCAGACCTGTCATTCAGTGAGAAGGAAGCAATGGGATCATATGCATGTCGGGGGTTGGCTGCTGTTGAACATTGAGATTGGCGTGGGTCTGCATTGCTGGATGATGTGATGTGAAAATCCATAGCTCTTTGCCTTTATGACTGGGAATGTCCAGCCTGTAATTGAATTGGGCTGGTTATGCCATTGGTTTTTAAGGACCCACTGGCATCCTCAACAACTATTGGTAGCTGGAAGCTGACATATATAAGAGTACTATTAATATCACTATAATACATGGCATTTGGCTCACATCAAACAGGTAAATGTTTTGTTGTCTGAACATCTAAACAGCAAGGTTCAGTCTCAACTTGTGTTCAAACCAAACCTCAAGCTCATTCGCGGCCTCAGCTGCCAATCACCGAGTTCCGGCAGGTGATTACTCGCCAGTGCCCAGTGATTGCCGAGCATCTCCAACGGGGGGGGGGGGGGGGGGGGGGGAGCTGTTTGTAAACAATACAGTTCTCTCCCGTCAGCTTCTGCACACTGTTTTGCATGGCTGTGCATAGCAGAGCCATACAAAGCAGTGTGCTTACAGTGAAGCACAGACACAGCCCACTATGCAAAACAGCACACAGTTAACCCTTTGATCGCCCCACATGTTAACCCCTTCCTGCCCAGTACCATTAGTACAGTGTCATTGTTTTTTATTAGCACTGATCACTGTATTGGTGCTACTGGGTATGTCAGTGAGACCAAGTCAGTTCCCCCCAGTGTCAAAATGCCCGCCGCAGTCCCGCTATAAGTCGCTGATCACCGCCATTACTAGTAAAAATAATACATACAAAATTCCAGTAAAATATACCGCCATTTGTAGACGCTATAACTTTCACGTAAACCAATTAATTTACATGTATTGAG